GAGGAGGAAGGTGACGGCAGTGATGCTGATACTGGGAGAGATGGGGAAGACGATGATGGGGAGGTGGAGGTCCTGCTAAGGGTGGTCGTTGGTGGTGGTGTTCTTGCTGACAGGGGTGAAGTATGTGGGGAGAAGAGTAAGTGACCCTACCCCCTCCTTCCTCCCGGGAGGCTTCCTTGGCCTCGTGGGCCTGCAGGATGCTACGCAGAGAAATGAAGGAAGACTCAAAAGCGACCAGCTGGAGAGGTCCAACTGGCTCCTCCCAAGAAAAAGCCCGAGACTCAGTCTCAGAAGCCTCCTCCCGGGTCCTCCCCTCCCCTCGGGTCAGCAGGGAGCCTGGGGGGCACCCAGAGACGAAGATTCAGAGGCCACGAGGAGAAGAACTCAACTCGAGGGAAAAAGAAGGAAGAGGGCTTCCACAGACTTTGCGGTGGTGCGGCTCTCCCCTTTTGTCAAGAGTCTGCGGCAAAGACCTTCCCCAAGGCTTCCGGATCCGGCTGAGAAGCCTTTACGGCACAACTGAGGTTCTGGCTGAGCCAGGTCACTCAAGGATGGTAAGGATCAAAATAGCACTGTGTTGGGGACGCTGGTCCCTGAAACCCTGTGCGACTCTCCCGCCTCCTCGGCCGAGACCCCACCCTCCCGAGCCAACTGCCCGGCGCTTTGGAATTCCGCCCGGTCCCCGGCAAGGCAAGGAAAAACAGGGCTCTCAAGGAAAGCAAATTAAATCATCCATCACTCTGACTGGGAATTAATTAGCAACGAGGGCACAAGGGAAACACGGCTGGAGACAGAGAGGGAAACAGAGGCAGGGGAGGGGAGCACGGGGAGGAGAGGTACACACGGGGAGGCATGTAGGTGGCCACCCTACGCCAACACTGGAGACGGGTCCCGACCACACAACGGTGGCACAGAGTATGTAAGGTTCTGCTCGCCTAATGCGTTTCGATTATTGATTATCCTCCCTAGCAAATAGTTGAAACCGCACTCAATCCGGTGATCAACGGGCCCCGGACAAATGAATGGCCAAAATGAACGAGAAGACGCAACGTGGTAAGAAACTGAAACGCAAAGAGAAAGCCTGCTAGGAGCCATCAAGCAGAAAAATGAGCTGAAGTTAAGTGTGTTAAAAGCACTCGGATCAAGTGACTGAGGGTGCAGCTAGCGATCCGTGAGCGTAACCCGTTAGCTGAATTCCAAAAAGACACGTGACATTCAAAGGAATAAAAATGCAGGGGCGTCTGGCTGGCTTGGTTGGTTGAGCATCCGACTTTTGATTTCGGCTCAGGTCACGATCTCGGGGTCGTGAGATCAGGCCCCGTGTGGGGCTCCGCACTGAGTGTAGATAGAACCTGCTTGGGCTTCTCTCTCCACCCGCCCCCACCGTCTCTCTGCCCCTCCCCCATTCGTGTGCATGCATACACGCGCGTGCGCGCACACACTCTCTCCAAATAAAAAAAGAAATGTTTAAATTTTTAAAGGACTCAACATGAAGCTTTTACGGATTTCTCCTCCACCATCATCAATGCCTCCCTCAGCCAACAGAGCAACTCCACTGATTCCAGAGGGAAAGGATCAGATCTGGGAATCGTGTGTCGTGTAGACACACGACTCCTCTTTGGGGTATAGGGTGATATTCGGAAATCTGCAAATTTCTGACGTGTTACCACCTGAGCACCTTTCCGGCAAAAAACTGCCTAGGAGTCTCCCCCCCCAAACACACACATATCTAGGGCTGAGTCAAAGAAAACAGTCTTGAATAGGGAAGTCACAGAAGGAAGGGTCAGTGATAGAGCCGATTAAATGTAAGGTTGCAGGGTCAGGAGACGAAAACATTCATCGGCGATAGTTTAATTGCAGTCACACCGGACTATGTCAATAAAGACCGGAGAAGTATGGAAAAAAAATATCTGAAAATCTCAAAAACGCCTTGACCTCCTCAAAAGGGAGTCGATGTTTCCGATTAGCTAGGGATAAAAACACAATGAGGAACGTTCACGGTGCCAGGGGTGCCTGGGTGGCTCAGTTGGCTGAGGGTCATCCGGCTTTGGCTCAGGTCGTGATGTCACAATTCATGAGTTCGAGCTCCGTGTCAGGCTCTCTGCTGTCAGCGTGGAGCCTGCTTCGGATCCTCTGTCCCCCTTTCTTTGTCCCTCCCCGGCTTGTGCGTGCTGGCTCGCTCTTTCTCGCGCGTGTGCAAAAATAAACACCGAAGAAAGAAAAGGGGTGCCTGGGTGCCTCAGTCAGTTAAGTGTCCGACTTTGGCTCAGGTCACGATTTCGCAGTTTGTGAGTTCAAGCCCCACGTCAGGCTCTGTGCTGTCAGAGCAGAGCCTGCTTTGGATCCTCTGTCCCTCTCTCTCCCCGCCCCTCCCCTGCTTGCGCTCTAGCAAAAAATTCACAGCGCCTGTTTTAGAGGTTGTCCACGAAATGAAACTACAGCATCTAGCCCTGAGACTACAATCGATGCTCTAAACAAAGCTGACCATCAAAAGGTCACAGATCAAACGGACAAGGGAAGCACACAAAACGGGAATCGTGAGAGATTACGATAGCAGTTGGAACAGACCAATTACAACAATAAAGAAACGCGGCCTAAATTCCCTCATGTAAAGATACAGTCCCAGATTTGATGAAATGAGACCCAAACGGAGGCCCCTCAAAACCAAAACAGCACTGAGAGATTTCCAAAGAAAAGTCTGGGCAAAAATCCTGTCACCAGATTTGGTCAAATGAAGAAGTTGCACGAGAAGATAGGATTTAGAGAACACGGTATTGCACAAGGTGAGAAGGGTCACGAAACAATGGCAAAAGGCATTCTGCACAGCAAGGGCAGGATGTCACCGCACCATCATGCGATCGGAGAGGATACTGCTATAAACATGGCAATGGGGATTCACATGGACACAGCCACTTTAAAAAAATTTTTTTTTCAATGTTTATTTTTGAGAGAGAGTGAGCGAGCATGAGTGGGGGAAGGGGCAGAGAGAGAGGGAGACACAGAATCCGAAGCAGGCTCCAGGCTCCGAGCTGTCAGCACAGAGCCCAACATGGGGCTCGAACCCACAAGCCGTGAGATCACGACCTGAGCCAAAGTTGGACGCTTAACCGACTGAGCCACCCAGGTGCCCCGGACACAGCCACTTTATAAAGCAATTGTGCTTTCTCTCCAGAGCCTTGCACTGTCGCAGACGAGGGGTCTGGAGTTCTTTCTTGTCCAGCAAGAGAGCGGACGCAGAAATGAATACGAGAGAGGCTAAAGTCTGGGAGGAGACAAGAGCCCCGAACAGGAATTTTGTCTCCGTATTTGAGTTCTCAAGATCTTACACACGTGGTGAACATGGAGAAAACAATCGGACAGTAATCATTAACTTGTGTGATTAAGAAGCAAAGGGTCTGGGGGGGAGGTGGGGACAAGTGGTGTTTGTGATCAAGGTACATTGGCGTCAAAGGGAAAGTAATTTCCTGCAGGTGATGGAACAAGTTACTCGTGATCCCGATACAATATCGCGCTAGCTAACCTCTGGTGCTTTCGCCCAGTGGTGGCAGCTTTCCGCTCTAAGCTTGTTTCCCACCCATTTATGTAAATAGAACCTATTTCCCCACATTGCACGGCTCCTATTCTTTGACTCAGTCATTCCATTTACGATAATCCATCCCTAAGAAATCATGCAAAATGAGCACAAAGGCTCATGTCCCGAGGTTACAGTATATATTCATATTAGCAAGAACCTGGTAATCATCTAATACACCCCAAAACAGAGGAAAAGTAAATTTAAGTAAGAATATTTAAAAAAAAAGATGCTTCTGGACAGTTTTAATCACATAGGAAAAATGCTAAGATATTAGGTGGAAAAAGTACAAAAAATAAGTCTTGTACACAAGACAATATTAAATATACTAAAGAAATACAC